TTAACCATACAGTTTAAATGGATAGAGAATTGCTACATAAATATGTATATTCCTGCCTGAGCCTATACTATAATTGGATATCTAGTCTCTCCTGAAAGTTAAACTATATTTTTACAAGCACTTTAGCATTAAATTTAATTCCCAAAGACAGTTGGATCGAAAGTCATTATAAGAAACGAGTTATTTAAAAAAAATAATATTTACGACGCATTTCATTTCTGTTGTCCAAGGAATGGGGTTACGTGTTAATGGCGCTCTCGAAAGTCGTATATGTGACTTAAGGTAGAGACATATATCTAATGCATCTGTATTTTGTTAGGGAAACATAACTGTGTACATGTACATCTTTTGTTTGCATAAAGTGCATGCAACTTAATTAACATAATTGTGATCCCGAAATCGGACGAGCACATATTCGGCTTCAATTCCAAATCTTATGACCGAGAAAAATAATTCTTTGGACATTGTAAACAATACAAACTGGCTAATAAAACTGACAATTATTTGTCAATATATGATCTCCTTTTTATCAGTTTTAATATTGATGGAGGAATGAGGGGAGGATACTATGAACAAAATGAAAATATGAACAGTGACTATCTGTATTATATGAATCTTGCTTATTTATTACACTACAAGAAAATATACAAGCAAAACGAGAACAAATTACGTGTGTATTTTGTAACATATTTATCTACTACAAATGAAATGCTTATGTACGACAGATATATTTTTCCCGAATTTAATTGCCCATAATTAAGTGTGCATATAAAGAGTGCTTATTATACGCGAATAAATAAGTCTTGAGTACATTAATCAATCGGAAGGGGTTATAATTGAGATTGTTCACTAGCCAATATATTAGCAAATATTGCCGTGGGCGTTTATTAGAGCGGCCGCTTATTACGTCGAATACGGAAATTATACTTTGCATTTATGTCTCAGAAATGACTGTTGATAAAACGGCCTCACCGAACACTTTGAATAGCGGAAATACCAACTTGAACATAAAACCAATCAACTATCTATTTCCACGTTACGGTTACTGAGAACAATGTGTCATCCCAAAACTAGAAATTAAATATGGACATGCGGATTTATAGTATTAATCGATCGATAGACACGACCTAAACTGAAGTTAGCAATGGTAAGGTGAAGGTCACCACTCAAATCGTAAGCACGGATGTTTTGATTGAGAAGGTGTTCTTCTTGACTGTACAAGTGGATTTTATCTTAAACAAACAAGTCCATGTAAGTTACATTTTACAATAACATCCCCATTGGTTAAGTCATTTGTTTCAACAGTTACATTTGCGTTAATACGATATTCGTATTGTTACTATTTTAACAATGTGGATTTGCAATGTGCATGTTGGCGGCGGCTTCGTTAGTCACTTCTAATGCGAGTACTGCCTAGAATGGACTTTTGACATTATTACTTACTTCAAAGATCTAACGAGCTGTATAAATGAAATATATCTAAAACAGACAAGAAGCCAGTGTAAGTTACATTTTAAATTAATATCTACTTTGGTTAAGTCAATTATTTTAATTGTTATAGTTGCTTGTCAATATATTCGTATTGTAACTGTATTAACAATGTGTGTAGGGTAGGGGTCCTGAAATTCCAGTGGGAAACAGAATATGTTTTCAGTCAGCGCTTCACAATATATGTCTGTGAGGAGGAATACTGAAAAAAACAGCCTTTCCAGTAATATTCCAGCAGCACCAGCCTTTGGCTGTCTACATTACACTGTCTGCTGTAAAGGTATGTAATCTACACCTAATAAGTATACGACATGACGCGCTACTCAATGTATAACTCTGTTATATCATATACTGAATTGAATAAAAAATATTAAAAAAGAAAAGATTGTATGTGTATTCTGATATGCATCACTGAAATATTACTTTCGATTGTTGGTATAAATACTTTAGACTCTATAGTGCATCTTTGAGGATGAGTTAAATGTTCCAAGTGTTCTCAATCCTCCACGAATGTACATGCATTAAATAATTGTAAAACAATGAAACGACTATGAAACAACTATTAACCTCTCCTAGATGTGTGTTATAGAAATGGTTGTTGTGTTTCTCCTTCCCCCGTGTCCTCACTTATATTCATAGCTATGATCTATTTTCAGTAGTATGTGCGCAGTACAACTTTGCGCATTGCCTGTATCGTTCAGTGATAGGTTGCAGTACACAACGCGTTATATGTAGGGGCCTGCTTACTACAGGCGAATTTCATCATATACGCTAGCACGCCAGAGACTTGTGTATTATAACACGTAATCTCATTTCGGCGGTCCGAGGGGTGATGTACGTGGGAATGCCATACGTGGGGATGCCATTGCTTATAAAATAGAACATAATTTCAACGAGCAAGAACTAAATGTAAGTTACATATTATATATATTTTTACATTATTTAAGTCATTTATTTTAATTATTGTGGTTGCATTGTCAATATATTCGTGTTCTAATTGTATTAAAAATGTGGATTAGCATATACTATATTTCATTAACATCTTTATTCATTACCTTCACATTTCATACCTTAGGATGCATATATGTATAACACACTCAGTAAACTGAACATCCTCACGCAGGTTAGTCTCTGTCTGTCCAGGTGAAAACCTGTAAGTCGGTTCATGGCATAAATGAGAAGTCGTGTAGCCTTGTGGTTAAAGCGTTCGCTCGTCACGCCAAAGACCCGGGTTCGATTCCCGACATGGGTACAATGTGTGAAGCCCATTTGTGGTGTCCCCCGCCGTGATATTGCTGGAATATTGCTAAAAGCGGCGTAGAACCATACTCACTCACTCACTCATGGCATAGATCTACATGTGGGGTGTGGATAACACTAAACGTGGAAATAATGTTGCGTATTTCCATGTAGGGGACAAAGACATAATGCCTGTGTAATGAGGATTAGTTTGTTATAAAATATGTACAGTAATCAACCTTAGTATTCTTGATTGTCAACTCAATATCATGAAGGAGTTTGAATGACTAATGATTGATCAAAGAAAAAGATCAATCCAGCGCTATGTAGGAAACTATTTTATGCCTTGTACCATGTTGCGTCTGTCCGCCGTCTCATGGACAAAACACACATGCATTAATCTGATTTACTGACGCTTCAGTCACTTCAGAACAACATGCACGACGTATGCACAACTGGGGCAACTACCTGTTGTGTTGGGTAACTTCCTGTTATTTTTCATGCTTATATTTATGTACCCTTATGGCTTATACAAAATATAGATAAAATAATTTGCGTTTCAGAGTACATATTTCAGGGTGTTTCATTCAGTGTTAAATCCTCCCTTAATCAATGCCATTAAGTCAGTGTTGTATGTTATGAAAACAAATGAATACTATACAATGTAATGCCTGTAAAACTCTCAGACCATTACATGTCTATATGTTATGTTTTAGTTGTGATTTCAAATATACTCTTTAAAAAAAGAAACGCAAAGCCAGATTTGCGTGAGGTAGGAAGACACATCTATACGAAACGGACACCATAGCCTTGTGATGGAGCTTGGCTCTACATTGAAAACCCGGGCTACAGCTGATCGGGATTGTTGAACTGTCAAAGTTCGATTGCCATAAATAGTGCCTATGCTTTTTCTTTATAGGCGACTAACAGAATCGGGTGGTCAGGCTCGCTGATGCATGTCATCGCATCCCAATTGCGTGAATGGATGCTCATGGTGTCAATCACTGGATTGTCTGGTCCAGACTCGATTATTTACAGACCGCCGTCATATAGCTGGAATATTGCTGAGTGCGACGTATACAATAAACAAACAAACAAACACTGTTCGTTTGATGCAGATGCCAGGCAATCAAAAATCCTGTGCTTTCCGAATCGTACGTGTTTCCCGACTAATGGTTTGCACGTCATTGTTGTGATGATTTTGATCCTGGAAATTTGTCACTGACAATATAACACAATAAAACTGTTCATTTTGCAGTTCTTGTTCCTCTTATTTTGCTTTTATGGCCAAAAATATCCGATTTGCTTTTCTTTTTTTAAAGAATGTATGAGCTCTGTGTGTGTTTGTTTTATGGTATTTACCCGATAACTCTTAAAAAAACCCGGAGGTATATATATATATTTTGTCGAAAAATCAATAAATGATGTTTGAAACAAAATCAGCTGTGAAGACAATGTTTGTTGTTTCAAATTGCAAATTATCAGTCATGTTCCAGCTCATGATATTGTTTGTCAAGAGTAGAGTACCCCTGACCCAATATGGCGGGTGGTTGTAGTAGGATTCTACCCGTCCTCGTGTAGGCGATAGCAAATGTTTCTTATTCGCTGTCGAATACAGAAATCATAGTTACAACATAATTTACATAACATTATAACCCGCTACTTCTGATAACATAAAGTGTGAGGACGAGTGATACAGGACGGCGACATATATTTAAAGCAAGAATAAAGTGTGTCACATACCCACGACCTGAATTACATCTCACGGCATTGATCCGGGTACTCCTCTGATTATGAACTCTACACAACTATACATGGTAAATCCAAGAATTTGATCCATAAAACGGGAAATTAAGTTGAAAGACACCTCACTGGCGACATAACACACTCAACACGAACACAAACACACTGTGCGGGATGAGCTCTGTTACCCATCTCAATCTGGCGGCCAAAGTCCACTTTCCGCTCTTTGAATACAATTCAGGGGACACAACTCTGTATATAATATAGCGAGCTTTGATTCGCATTTGATTTCAATATCAAACTATTTATGAAAAGCACATTTATTGGTGTCTTTTTAAGTAATTAATCTTTTAAACTTAGATGCATAGTATGAAAATATTTAAATAATGTTCGAGTATATTTTCAACAGTGACAACCAATAATTACTATCAAAGAAATATACATCTCAATGTTGAATGTTGCCAATTTTAAAACTCTAAAACCTGTCTTTAAATGATTTGTTAAAAAAACACCATCCACAAAAAAATAAATATCAGGCAACAATCAGACATCCTGGATGTCGGGAAAATATTGGGTGTAGAAAAAATACAATTGTTTGTCTCCGTTTCATTTAAAATGACTTGTTTTGAAGCATTAACTCAAGAAATACCCCGCAACCAGAGAAACACCCCCGTCACTTGACCTGCTTTAGATGCCTGACGCAATTCCCTGTCTTATTCCCGTGTTTCTTTACGTGAACTCTTGTCTTTCCTTTGCATGTGTTTGTGACGGTTGCCACCGTTGGGGAAGGACACGTTCACCTTTTCGTGAACACCTGGTATCATCAGAATCTGATGCTGATGCTTATGATATTGCCAGGATCATACAATTGATACTGCCTTCAACACATATTTCATATGATTATGGAAAAGTTCTTTTCGTTCTTAATGGACTTACAGCAACACGTATTGGTGAGGTATTGATGCGTTGAAAATATATTGAGGTTTTTGGGAAGCGTTTTACCAGCATTTGAACATGAGCAAGTCTTTGACTCAAATTTGATGTTGATAGAAACAGAAGACACATGCAGTAAATATTCATAGACTTGCCCATGTGTGCTTGGTTGTTTAAAAAAGAAACTACCTTATATTCATCCATGGTCCTTATTATATCCGTCACTGACGTTGTCTGCTAACACCCGATTGAATTTACTTGTAAAATACTGCAAAACCTCTGATCGTATTTGCAGCGTCCGCTCAAAACCGAGCAATTCCGTGTACACACGTGAGCCTGCTGGATGATCAAAATATCATGTGTGTTCCACCCAGAGCTGCCACCGAGGCCCCGCCCAACAACACCAGCAGTGCTCGAGCTGCCAGGGTGGGGGGTGGTCAGTGTGGTCGTCACTGTGAACAGAGAGCAAACACTGATGGAAATGGTGGAACTGGGTATGTGTCTTGGCTAACATATAGTCCCTGAAATAATGTTATGAATGATGTTAAATAAACTTAATTATACAACTATAATCAAAATAATTAATCATGTTTTTAATGGACTTACAGCAACACTTATTGGTGAGGTAATGATGTGTTGAAAATATATTGAGGTTTTCGGGAAGCGTTTTACTAGCATTTGAACATGAACACGTCTTTGACTCAAATTTGATGTTCATAGGAACAGTACAAACATGGCGTTAAAGTTATTTTGGCGTCGTAGACTTGTCCATAGTTAGATTTTTTTTAAAAAGAATAAACTTGTAAATTACTGCAAAACCTCTGATCTTATTTTCAGTTCTTCCATGGCATCAGCGTCCCCTCACAACCGAACAGTTCAGTGTACACACGAGAGTCTGCTGGATGATCAAAATATCATCTGTGTTCCGGCCAGAGCTGCCACCGAGGCCCCGCCCAACATCACCAGCAGTGCTCGAGCTGCCAGGGTGGGGGGTGATCAGTGTGGCCGTCACTGTGAACAGAGAGCAAACACTGATGGAGTTGGGTATGTGTCTTGGCTAACATATTGCCCCTCAAATAAAGTTTTGAATGACGTTGAATAATCTTAATTATACAAGGGAACCCTCGAGTATGAGGGAGCCCTAAATGTTCTTAATGTCTGGAGTTGAAAAGTCGATGATTAATACAGACCGGTAGGACTAAGAAGGGGATGAGAGTGGGATGTGTTATTAGATATATGCTGTACGGGCTTCAAGAGAGATTAGACCTACGGGTATCAGGTGTGGAAGCGCAGTGTTGAAACCTAAGTGCATCTGCAACATTAATGGTTTAATAGTATTTCCCTTATCGAGAATGTACAAGATCTGACCGTTTAGTGTTAGATTACAGTAAATGTGCGGAACGAGACAAAGTAATACGTATTACAATTCTGACGATCGCGAGTGACCGACGGAAGAGACAGAAACCGAACGACGCTAAAGGTCTGTTTACTGATTTACAGACAAACAGCAGAACGGCATCCCATCCAGTGTTCACAGGAAACGGAAATGGACGTTCACATCACGTGCTCGGGAAGCTAGAGTGGACGGGAGTCAATTATTTCAGTAGAGGGACCACCGGCCCATTATACAATACATGATATCAGAGTTAGACAATTTCAGCTCTGATGAGAAAGTTATTACGCTTTTTTAAAGCAAGAAATATAAATTTAGTTAAAGCATTAATTATGCATGGGGTTTAGATGTACAGAGTGTGACAAATTTATCAAAAGTTACATTTGTGTAAAAATAATAAGGTAGAACCTTACGTCTCAAACTGTCATAGTATGGACATTGTAAACAAAAATGATATTCAGATTCCACTTCAGGTCTTACACAAAATGGACATAGTCTCTTAGCTCTAGGTGTATTGTACTTCCTTCTATTTTCAATTAGCAAAGTATAACCAGGACAACCTAATTTACCCAAAGCAATAGGTAGGCACTTACTGAAATACAATCTAGATAACTCTAAATACATAATATTGCTTAATACAAGAATAAAAAGAAACTTTTGAATAAGTTCTTAGACTGCTAGACCACTGTTGGTTATCTATATCAATACATCTTGTTTTAAGGTTATCAATAAAACCAATATTTATTGGTTTACTTCTTGACTAGTCCAAACATGGCCAAAACCATATGAATTAAAGAATTTGTTTTACTTTTAGTGCCCAGCAATTTATTCCTTTTTCTGCCAGATTGTATTGATATGATAAGCATGGCTAAGGATTATATTAGTTTTTCGAGAAACAAGTCGGAGCCAATATTTGACAATACGAACATGTTGATTAAGTTTAAGTGAATAACGTCCAAGCTCACCACGAGCAACTATATTGGGGACAAATCTCCCATATTGTAAAATATTCTTACAGAATCTATCATGTACATTGATGACATCTTGAGGCGGGCGAAAGCCCCATATCTCTGAGCCGTAGAGAAAAACAGGTAGTATTTTGACATCGAATGCCTGTAAAAGTACATTATAAGGAAGTTTCATAAAATACCCTGAGCCTGATTTTAAAGCGAGAAGATATTTCGTCGCTTATGGAGCTAGTGTTTTCTGTGTAAAGTACCAACTACCAGATGATGAAAGATGAACACCTAAATATTTATAAGTAGGAACAATTTATATTATGTCAGTACCAAACCAAAACTTTTCATATCTTCTGAGACGACCACTACGTCTAAATACAATAACTTTACTTTTGCTTATATAAATAGACAACTTCCATTTCTGACAATAAATCTTCATTTTGTCGAGGCGTCTTTGCAACCCCACTACTGTACTATCGAATGAGGCCATATCATCTGCAAACATTAGAATAAAAAGTTCAATCATTCCTAATTGGATATTACGATGCCCGTCTGAATTAAGAAAATCAACACTATCATTTACAAACAATGAAAACAGATAGGGATATAACTCACATCCCTGTCGTACACCTGACTAGCCACCGTTAACAAATATACAAGATTTAACGTTTTCATACATATTTTTAAGTATTCGAAATATTTTACCATCAAAGCATTGATAACATACACATTATCAGATGTTCTAAATCCTTTTTCTAAACCCTGCCTGCTCAGGTACTAAAAAACTATCTTGATCTGCGCAATCGTATAAACGTTTACACATTATCTTAGCAAAAAATTTTCCCTGAACACTCAAGTAAAGAGATAGGTCTATAATCAGAAGGGTTGTTTCTACTGCCTCTTTTCATAGAGGAATAATTACACCTAGTTACCAGGCTTTAGGATAAACACCAGTATTTAAAATGAGATAAAATAGTGAAAGTAACATTTCAATACATATGTTAGGGGCATTTTAAAAACATTCTATTGATATCCCATTATAACCAGGGGATTTACCATTTTTCATATCATTTATAGCATCAACTATTTCGCTGTGAGTTATATCTATATCAACTTCACTGTTTATATCAATATTATCTTCAATAGTAGAATCAGACAAGGATAACACAAAATGGTTTATGTAATTATAAAAGTCTTGCTGTTCTTCGGATGGGTAGTGAGGGTGGGAGTAGACATGGGGATGGACAGTGATCGGGTCAGAGAGGAGCCACTGTTTCATATCAATCTATGTGCACAATGACAATCAAAACCTGTTTCCTTCAATTGTTTCAGACAGTGGGTCAGTACTGAAATATGATGGAACATTCTGTAGTAGAATATAAGATCGTGTTTGTTTGTTTTTATACCAATACAGTTTTTGAATATTGTCTACAGTTTAATACGTGAAATAATGTATGACCTATTTCATCTGAAAACGTGATTTACTTGTTAAATGTTGAGTTTTACACATGTTGATCATATTGTGCATTTAAATATGTTAATACAAATTTGCATCTTTTCAGTATATACGTCTGTTTTGAATGCCTACGAAAGGCCACACGTGACATCCGATATCGTAGCTTTTCGCGTGTATATATTTAGTGAGCCTCGTCAGAATAGAGGTGAACATTGGAGTCGAACTTACACTCACTGGATTCTAGTAGTAGTTGTTGTTGTCGCAGTTGCAGAAGTAGTAGTAGTAGTAGTAGTAGTAGTAGCAACAGCAGTAGTAGTAACAGTAGTAGTAGCAGTAGTAGTAGGAGTATTAGTAGTATTAGTATTAGTAGTAGTTTTAGCATTAGTAGTAGTAGTAGTAATAGTAGTAGTAGTAGAAGGAGTAGTGGTAGTAGTAGTAGTAGTAGGGTTTAACGTGCATGCACGTGTGTGTATGTGTGTGTGTGTGTGGTGTGGTGTGTGTTAGTGTGCGAAAATGTGTGCTAGTTTAGAATAATGCCGGTCTTATAGTGCCAGACCACTGAGATACCATATCGCAGTTATACATGAATACTCAGAACATTATACTGACTACGACCCGACCAGTCCTTAAACGTCTTTTGGTATGATGTGACCTTGCGTTCTCTGGGCAGACCCTCTATCAACTAGAACAGGGGACGGTCCTGATATCTTAACCTGTTGTGGAACATTCGATAACTTGATCAACCTTGGGCACAAGTAAACCTACATCAGTCTACAGGGAAGGGATGAGGGTGTGAGTGAGTGAGCGTGTTTTTAAGCCGTGTTCTCTTCAAAGAATCAAGGTGTATTTCATGGCGAAGGTGGAGACTGTCATTGCAGTCAGTTCCTCTTCCACAGTAGGTCTGTCGACAAGCCTTGACGTCATATTCTGTGAGGTCCTGAGGCATCGCGTCTTTCTGAGCGTCAGCGCTGTAGGCCTCGCTGAAGTCGTACACATACTCATCCAGATGCTCCACGTCTCAAATGTCGCCTGCGTGAAAACAATGTGCAGACTATCTCACAGACTTTGATCATTGATGCAGACAAATTCATATTTGAAATTCGCTTTTGACATGCATCAACCAAGTCAACGAGTCTGACCACCCTATCCCGTTAGTTGCTTTTTACCACAAGCATAGTCACCTTTTACGGCAAGAATGGGTTTCTGAAGACCTATTTTACCCCGGATCTTCATAGGTCCCCTTTTAGAAATACTGGCTCCGCCCCTGTGGAGGAAAGCACGAAGTGATGCACGTCTTTGACGTTTACTATTTTGATGAAACCCTGTAGCCATGACCAAGCCCAGAAACAATCATGGCGACCTGGGATTCTAACCCACGATCATAGGTTTCTGGCATGTACCTGGAACACAGGCCATCACAGAGGTGATTTGTATCTGTATTCACACTGTCAGTTACTTGTGAGACACTCCCCTGATAGCTTTCATGTCCGTGTGTTGTTATTGGTGGATAATCTGAGTGAAAAGCAATACGACAATCTCCGTGTGTTGTTATTAGTGGATAATCTGAGTTAAATGCAATACGACCATCTCAGTGTGTTGTAATTGGTGGAGAATCGGAGTGAAACACAATACGACCATCTCCATGTGTTATAATTAAACGAAAATCTGAGTGAAACACAATACGACCATCTCAGTGTGTTGTTTTTAGTGGAGAATCTGAGTGAAACGCAATACGACCATCTCCATGTGTTGTTATTAGTGGAGAATCTGAGTGAATTGCAATACGACCATCTCAGTGTGTTGTTATTTGTCGAGAATCTGAGTGAAACGCAATACGACCATCTCAGTGTGTTGTTTATTAATGTAAAATCTGAGTGAAACACAATACGACCATCTCCATGTGTTGTTATTAGTGGATAATCTGAGTGAAATGCAATACGACCATCTCAGTGTGTTGTTATTGGTGGAGAATCAGAGTGAAATGCAATACGACCATCTTCATGTGTTATTATTAATGGAAAATCTGAGTGAAACACAATACGACCATCTCCATGTGTTGTTATTAGTGGATAATCTGAGTGAATTGCAATACGACCATCTCAGTGTGTTGTTATTGGTCGAGAATCTGAGTGAAACGCAATACGACCATCTTCATGTGTTATTATTAATGGAAAATCTGAGTGAAACACAATACGACCATCTC